AAATAAATGCAGTCTGATGGCAAGCAGGGGCAATCATAAATTAGTATTCATTTCCTGTAATTAATGCAAACATGCCTATGAACACAGTGAATATGAATATATAACCACCTCATTTCCATTTCAAAATATACCCACCAAATTTCCACTTCACTTATCTTGATTTGATTTTTCTGATTGAAATAAGGGTTAAGGCTTTCTCAATAAAAAACAACTCACTGCGGTTTTGTCCTCGAGGATCGAAAGTTGCTGTGTGAGAGGGAAAGCAGAGTGTCACATTCAGTGCACCATGTAGGGGCTTTCAGCACTTCTGCATTTGTCTCTATCATTCGAAGTTGACAGTAATTGCTGTTTTTCCCCATTCTGCCCCCTTTCCACGCTTCACAGCCCCTCCCCACCTTGCTTCCTGTATTTAGCCTTTTCTCATAGAGTGAAATTTTCACCATCAGCATGGCGTCTGGGATCTATCGGCCTGATCCAACACCCAGTGGAAAGACTCCTGTTGACTTCAATGGTCCTGAACTGGAGTTGATACCAATGCAGTGCGGAGGGATTTGGAGATAGAATTCCCACCTGTCCCTCCCCTGAATCACCCAACCCAGTTGCAAAGGGTGTTGGGCAGCTAGACATGTATAAACTTGACCACTGACAGGCTGCCTGCTGCCCACTACCTCCACCCAACACAGCCCCCAGCAGACATGCCCTCACCCTTCTCTCTCCTGAGCTGTTACCCGGGGGGCTCAGAGTTCTTTGTTTCCTCTCCAGGGGAATGTGGCCTTTCATTGGCCTGAATGGTCAGCTCTGCCCTGAAACCCTCTCCCAGTTTCCTTCGTGGGAGCAGTCTGTGAGGCCATGTCTAGACTGCAGGCTTCTTTTGGAGGAAGCTTTTCAGGAAGAGCACTTCTGAAAAAACTTCTTCCGAAAGAGAGCGTCCACACTGCAAAAGTGCATCGGAAAAGCGATCTGCTTTTTTGAAAGATAGCGTCCACACTGAATGGATATACGCTGTGATTACTATGGATGGAGTGGCCACCAGGGCACCTGTGCTTTTTCCTCTTTTCTCTTCTTGAGAAAGCACTCCCTCTTCCCCGTCCACACACACCTTTTTCCGAAAGAGCTCTTTCTCCTTCGCCCATCCCAGCGAAACACACAGGATTAAAACCTCCCTTCTCACAGGGCTTTCCTCGCACTGCCACCTCTGGTGGTAGGAGGATGGGAGCTGTGGGTTGTGGAGGATAATCCCCCTACCAAATCTCACAGACCTTCTGCCATTCAGAGCGATGGGAGCCCTGCCCCCCAATTCCAGGGGCAGACAGCAGCCCTTCTACAAGGATAGTTCTTGCTCTTTCTCCACTCCCCACATACACACTAGCCTCAGGGATCCAGAGGAATCCACCCTACTATTAGCTGGGCCCCCTTGTAGCTACACTGCAATAGCTTTAGATACCACACAAGTGATAAACCTCCCTGTGATATGACTTGGATTTCTGGATGGAAATCCAAAAGCAAAACAGAGAGCAACAACTCTTATCACCAGTTCCACATGAAGCCCAGCACAAACCTGCACTTCCCTTACACACCACACAAGCAGAGGGATATAGTGCAGTCCCTAGCATGTTTACAGTAACAATGGAAAGCAGACCTCTTTACATGCCCTGCCATCAGAGTCCACTTGGTGCTATGTCTCTCTCCTCTGATTTTGTTCATCACTTATTCCTGTGTTGGCTTGTTCCTGCAAAACTAACTAAATGTTCAGTGGTTGTTGCCTGTAAACACTCTACTAATGTCAGGCCTTGGCAAGTTGTAGAGTTGAATCTTAATGAAGGAGATAAGATCAGATCATGCCAGTTGGAGCCATGACCGATTGCATCAGCTGAGAGAATGACCCATAGACTTTCCTTCTTGGTATGCTATCCCTGTCAGATATACGCCACACTTAGGGTATGTCTAGACTACATCCCTCTTTCGACAGAGGGATGTAAATTAGGCACTTCGAAATTGCAAATGAAGCTGGGATTTGAATTTCCCGTGCTTCATTTGCATAATCACATCATGGCGCTCTTTCGAAAAAGCGCTATTTTGAAAGTAAAATTGCAGTCTAGACGTGGTTCTTTTGAAAATGGAAGCCTTTTTTGAAAGATCCTGTCTAGACTGCAGTTTTACTTTCGTAATAGCGCGTTTTCGAAAGAGCGCCATGATGTGATTATGCAAATGAAGCACGGGAAATTCAAATCCCAGCTTCATTTGCAATTTCGAAGTGCCTAATTTACATCCCTCTGTCGAAAGAGGGATGTAGTCTAGACACACCTTTACTGTTTGCATGGCGCCAAGGTCTGTCATCCTTTGCTGGTCTCAGAGAAGGTCGCCAGTTCTGAAGCTGTCAGCAGGCTGCATGGCTATTCATTCTGATATGTCCACATGAAGACTGATCCTACTTGGAAGAGAGCGGCTGCGAGCCAGCTTCTGAAAGCAGAGCCCTAGAGGTGACCATCCTTCAAAAAAACTTTAGGAGTTTTTTAATCGGAGTTGTTGAGTAATTCTTTACTCTCTCCTTTGTGGTTGTTAAATATCTGATGGCACTTTCCACATTAGTAAATCGGGCTGTACTTGGGCTCCTGGCTAAACTCCAGTCACGATACTGAGGTTTGAAATGAAAGCAGGTACATATACATGCATCCACGTCAGGAGATCACTCTGCTGTTTTTCCTAGTGCAAAATTTCTGCTGAATCCTGAGCAGCTGGGCTAGTCTTTTGATGTAGCAGAGTAGCTAGGGAAGGCATCCCTGAACACGTCGATGGGGTCATTTTTGCTTCTATGTGGGGAGCTTTTTATGCTACAACAGGTCAGAGTCCTGTCCTCGGGTCACACGTAATTTGCATTCTCAGAGATGTCTTGTTCCCTCCTTGACTATATAGGTGCATCTACACTGCACCGATACTTCGAGATAACTAGCATTATTTCGAGATAAAATGCAAGTGTCTACACAGCCATTCTGTTATTTCGAAATAATTTTGAAATAATGGACGGCTTATTCCGAAATCTGTAAACCTCATTCTACAAGAAATAATGCCTATTCCGAAATTGCTGTTTTGAAATAAGGCCTTCATCAGGGCCATTCTAAATCATTCCTCCCCAGTGCCTCCTGGGGCTCTAAATCGAGATAGCACGTCTACATTCGGGAAGTCTGCCTCGGACTGATTTTGAGGCTTCCCTGCAGTGTAAACGTGCTATTTTGAAATAAGCTATTTCGGAATAACTATTCCGGAATAGCTTATTTCAAAATTAGCCTGCAGTGTAGACGTATCCTAGACATAAATTGTCATTGCGAGTTGCTCTTTGCCAAGGCCGGTTCAGACCCCCTAAAAGGCATAAAGGAACCAGTAGCCTGGCTGAGTCCCTAAGCATCACCTTCCCCAGCATCGCTAAGGGCAGTGGCTTGTTGCAGTAAATAATTTCTGATGAATAGGGCCCTTTTTTGGTCCAAGACAATTAAGGCTCTGATGTTAAAGCTCTTGTGGCAAGTGACTGCATACCACAGCAAGTTTATTTTTGGTGATTTCAGGAGTCCTCCTCCTTTATATTATGTCCTGGATTTTGATCTCACCTCCTTGATTTGCCACTTTTCCTCCCGTGTTTAATTTAATTTACAACTTTGCAAATAGTATTTTCTAAATTGCAAATAATTTGATCAAACTCCTCTAAATGTTTCAGAAAAAGAACAAGTCTAAAACAGTTTGCTCCTCCCAAATTCCCTGTGCATAAAATGGTGTAGTTTACATTACAGTAATGCTTCTAGGCCTTGACTAACATTGGGCCCCATTTTAGATTTAACCTCTTTAGCTATCATTTTCCATATGTTTATACAGCACTTAATGCAATGGGGCCCAGACCTGGTTGGGCTGTCAGCACTACTACTATATAAATGGTAAATAATAATGGTACTAGACACTGTCCCCACACACAAATGGTAAATAATAATGGTACTAGACACTGCCCCCCCCCACACACACACACGCTCCAAGATGTTTATGAGGCAAGGCAGGCAAATGAATTATTATAATCCTTCTTTCACAGATGGAGAGATCAGGCCCAAGGATACTAACTTTGTCTACACTATGGCTTTTACTGAAGGAGGCAATGCAAATGAAGTGCTGATTAGCATACTGACATGCTTCATTTGCATAATCTATTCTGAGCCTTTTTTGCGCAAGGGGTTTTTGCGCAAAAACAAGCAGTGTGGGCGTTTCCTTTTTGCACAAACCCCCTTTTTGCACAAGATCCTTATCCTGCTAGGCAAAAACAGCTCGGAATAGATTATGTAAATGAAGCGCGACAATATACTAATCAGCACTTCATTTGCACTGTTTCTTCCGGCAAAAACTGATAGTGTAGACATAGCTTAAATGTATTGCCAAAGGTCATTCTGGAAGTCTGTAGCAGAGCATGGAACTAAATATCAATCTCCTGAGTTCAACTCCAGTATCGTAATGAGAAAGCCATCCTTCCTGGCTTTCCAACTGTTATTTGTTTTGACCCATAGATATGTGTAATTTTTCTGTGCTTTGTCCATAATCAACCACAGATTTTTTTTTTAAGCAAATGCATTTTTATGACCAATTATAAATTGGGTGAAAACTGAAACGCTCTAATTTTGGCTGTGAACCTTTTGTAATGATCATTTGCTCTGAAAGCAAAAGATGTAGTGTAATTTGGTTTTGCTTAAGCCACTTTCAGACATATGATAAACATTGTGAGATTAAACTTCCTCGCCTTACTCATGTGGTTAGTCTCATTTCAACAGAAGAGCTCCTCCACTGGCATAAATTGACATAGACTGCAGTGGAGCAGTGCCAGCTGAGATCAGCTGAGCATCGTTTCACTTCAATAGGGCTCCTGGAAGGATGGAAAGGATTTGGCTTTCAGTGAGTTGTGCTAGTGTAAGTGGGGGCAGCACTTTATCACTCCATCAAGCAGTCACTTGCATTTTCTCTTTTCTTGGCAGTTGTTAATATGGAAAGCAGGTCAATGCATCTCAGCGCGTTGGTCCAGGAAGCCCAGCAGAGGGTGAGTGAGCTGTCTGCCCAAGTGATGAGTGAAGGTCTTAGTATGGACAACACAGACAAAGAGAAGCAGCTAAAAGCATGGGAGTGGAGATACAGGCTTTACAAGCGCATGAAAGCAGGCTATGAGCATGCCAGTAAGTAGAACCAAGGTGGTTATAAGCATAAAAAGAAGATGCTTTACATAAGAATCGTTTGCACTTGTCTAGCAACTCTGTACAAAGATCCTCTGAGATCAATCCTCAGGCAACTGAAGGTGGTAGCTGGGAAAACTGGGGCACAGAAACTAAGTGGAAAGGGAGTTGGACAACATCTAAGATGACGAGTTTTCTCGGCAAAAAATATGCAAGTGAGGGACTCATTTGCATGAGTCGCAATCTCATTTGCATATGTTCTGCCGATCCATTCTTGTGCTGGGGTTTTTGCGCATAAACAAGCAGTGTGGATGTTTTCTTTTTTGCGCAACCCCCCCTTTTCTGCATGAGCCTTATGCCCCAAAAAAGGAGGTATACTGATCTTGCAGAAAAAGGGGTTTTTGCTCAAAAAGAAAACATCCATACTGCTTGTTTTTGCACAAAAACCCCAGTGCAAAAACGGATCAGCAGAAAATATGCAAATGAGATTGTGACTCATGCAAATGTGTCCTTCATTTGCATATCTTTTGCTGAGAAAACTCATCGTGTAGACGTAGCCCAAGTGCTAGAAATTGAAAGGCCCAGTTATGCTGACACTGGCCTGAATGCATCTCCTTTAGAAAGGGAGTTGTGTGCTCAAAACAGTTCAGAGAATTAGACCTAGAAATCCATGATACAAAGTCTAATTCTTAGACCAATAAGCCACATTCTTGTTCCCTCTCCCGTCTCCTTCCCTCTATGTTCTCATTCCAGATTTCATGTAATGAGATTAAAAATGATTGTAAAATAGGGGAGCAGTTCAACCTTTTTAGCATAAATCTTTTTACCCTACAGTTCTTCTGCAGCTGGTGAAAAAAAACAGAATGAAGTTTTCACTCAGAAAACTGTGGGACGGTTGACACTATTTACTGGTATCAAATGTAATATGTCAACAAAGAAAACGAGCCAGTTTCAAAGATGAGAACTTTTTAAGCCACTATAAATGTGCTTCTGTGCAGAAAGGCATACTGTGGCCCTTGGAGAGGAGTAGACCTAGAGATTGAAGCGTGTTAGTTATATAAGCATTTAGATCTTTTTGCTGTAATACATTCAGTGACAACCATTGCTACCTCTAACCTCTTTAGACCCACCTTTCTAATCCTTGTTTGCAAATAATTAACTTTGTCTAAGGGGCCTTGACCACCAAGAGCTCTTCTCTAATGTATTTATGGTATTTACTGAATGCAGCAAATATCATAGTAATGTTAATTACTTGCAGTGACAAAATTGTGAATATACTAGGCCACATCATCAGTGGTGTCAATCAGGGTAGCTTCCTTTAATTTGATGGTGCTACAGGGGTTTATGCCAGCTCAGGCTATGGTCCATCAGCCCCTCATGTGTTATGTTAATGACAAGAATTTGTTTACTGCCCTCATCCTGAATCGGAGGTAAAAAGTTAAACACTCAGTGTGACCTCAGAATCATTTGCATGCTCAAAGGGATTGCCAATTTTTCCTACAAACAATAGGTAATTAATTTAATGTCTGAACTGACTCACTCTTTGAACTGTTCTACATGCTTTAAAGAGGCTTCAGGCCATAACATAATTTAGACCGACCATGGCGAAAAATACAAAGTAGCTGTTATAATTTTGGTGATTTCTAAATCAGAATAATGTAAAAAATGTTTTCTGTCTTTTGGTAGATTTAAATCTGTTACGGAAATCTTGGAGATTTAATTAGCTCCTTTTAGGGTATTTTTAGGGCAGTGTTATTAAGATTGTTTTTGTCCCTTTTCTTTCCTCCTACCCACCTCCCAAAACATTTATAGATGTTTTTCATTGACATAATTAACATTATTTTGTTCTACTGGGTTCCATACATACAGGAAGATATTTTTAACTCATAGGAGCAGGAAATCATGATAGAAACAAATGGTGACTGCAGGATATTGTTAGATGGGGCACTAATTAAAATGTTCAAAAGGCAAGGAACACAAACACTTACGAACCAAAGCTCACAATTGCCGGGTGGTTTTCAGTGGGTTCTTTGAAGACACACGTTGTTTGAATAGGATTTGTTGTGCTATGGGCCTGATGTTTTTTCTTCTCTCCCAGGAGCCCCTGAGGCGCCAACCAATGTCTGTCTCATGGTAACAAGCAGCACATCACTCACTGTCACCTTCCAAGAACCTCTTAGCGTCAACTCGGCTGTAGTGACCAAATATAAAGGTACTGGATTTGGACATCGTTCATTTACCTCTCTTAAGAATGAGGAGGGTTCAATGAGGAGCTATTTACTTGCAGAAAATATTTTGCTATAAAAGCCTTGTTTGGATAGAAATATTTCATTGGTTATCTGTGTACACATGCGAATTTTTTTGGATAGGATTCCCTCATGGGATGGTAAGACAAAAAGACAGTTCACCCAAACCATTATCCATGATGCCTTGAAGTTTGCTTGACTCATTGTGGTTAGGGCATGGAATGAGCCAGCTAGAAAACATCAGGTCGCCTCCGGGGCCTGTGGGCTCCTTAACAACCCAGTGGATCGCTGCCCAGGCCAAAGCCACACTGCCATCCCTGAAAGGAATGCCTTTGGAAGCTGAAGCTGCTGGTTGTGGCTTCCCACAGCCCAACTAATTAGCTGTTCCAGTACCGCCACATCATTCCTGGAAGAGTATCACCTTAAGGGTGGCACCAGTTGCAGTCCTTAAAGTAGAATTAATAGAGAAAATCCCCTTTTTTGCCAAACACTCTGAGCCAGAGGCAGCTCATCTGCATTGTTGTGACGAATATTAAACACGGTGCATTAGGTTGTGGAGAGGGGCTTGAGTATTTAAAAGCCTTAAGCAAAGAAAATCTGTTGTTAAAGACATTGGCGTGAGCAGGTGGACCCCATTAAAGCTTCATCCTGAGGAATTTAGAAAGGAAAAGCATCTTTTTTTTTAATTTATTTGCCGGGATATTTCAAGTGAAGCCTGTTCAAGTTGCAGCCAGATTAGCTCTGTACATATACATTCATCACTCTAGTAATGGTAATACTCCGCAATACCATGGGGCCTTTCATCTGAGTATCTAAAAGCTATATGTCAACGATTAAGCCTCAGATAATTAAGCCTGGCCTACACATTCAGACTGTGTCTAATTCTTGCAGTTTCTTTCTTCATGAAATCTCCAAACTCCAGTCTTTTGTCTCTACCCATTCTGCCAAAACTCCTGTCCAAGTCTTGATCATATCATACCATGAACACAACAATCTTCGCCTTTCTGGCAGGTTTATAATGGTTTGCAAATTGATTAAAATAAAGTGGAGAGAAGCTAAGGTCAGAACTTTCAAACTTGGGAGCTTAAAGTTAGATATCTACATTCATATTTAATGCCTAAATAAGTAACCTGTTTTTCAAAAGCTTTAGCGAGGTAGCTGAAGAAGTGGGTTGCGCCCACGGAAGCTCATGATACCATTTACATGTTTTGTTAGTTTTTAAGATGCTACTAGACTATTGTTGTTTTTTAAGTTTTTCCTGTTTTTCAAAGGCTCTGAGTAGCCATGCTTCATATGAACTTCACAATTCATTTTCAGTGCTGTGTGCAACACTCAATATGGTCCTATACCTGGTGGCTTTAGAGGAGAGTTAAATCACCCATATTGCAGCTAGCTAGCTGTGCAAAAGGAATTTAGTGATTTAGGAGCCTAAGTCCCATTTTCCAAACATGATTTAGGAGCCTTCAAATGACTGTGTCACTCTCCTAGGGTATGTCTACACTACCCCGCTAGTTTGAACTAGCGGGGTAATGTAGGCATACCGCACTTGCAAATGAAGCCCGGGATTTGAATTTCCCGGGCTTCATTTGCATAAGCCGGCCGGCGCCATTTTTAAATGCCGGCTTGTTCGAACCCCGTGCCGCGCGGCTACACGCGGCACGGGCTAGATAGTTC